ATACACAAGTCTGGTATTCTATAAAACTCAAGAATACAATAAACCTAATCTTTATGTATTATGTATCCAACTGCTATAATCTTGAAGATCTGCCTTAAGAACTCGAGAACTTACACGATAATTTTAAATAAATGTAGACAATCTATCAATATATATGTTGCTGCTCGTATCTCTAGCCAGGCATCTCAGGATTATGTATGTATATAATGAGATCGGAAAAAACGCAAGTTAATAAAACTTACCCGAAAAATGATACGCTTTCCTTATACCAGACATTACTTAGTTTTCACATATTGCCCGAAATTAACAAAAATTCTTCTTTTAAATTCTTTTAAAAAAAGATTTTCAAACAAATTTGTTTAATAACTATCTTAAAACATAAATAAGCTCTAATAAAATTGCCCATAAAATTAGTTTGAAATGAATTCCTAAAAACAAATGTCGTTTAACCTAAAAATAAGTTAAATAATTTAATTAGTTGAATCAATTTTTTAGAAAATGTCTTTTAACAAAAAAATAGGATTAGAAATCACTTTAAAGATGTTTGTTAAGAAATTATCTATTTTTATTTATTTATTTTATGCAAATCTAAAAATAGAGAAAATGTGTTTTAATCAGGATGCATATCAAGTAGCTCGAAACATTATATTAAAAACAATAGGGATTAGGTATATTATGCTATTTAGATATTATATATATGCTCGCTCTCTCTCTCTCTCCCTCTCTCTCCTTTGTTGCCCATTACACAAACACATTGACAAGCTCATAACTCACACATCGTTTTTTTGTATAACTGTACTTTGTTTCATTTAAGTAAATGGCCAAAACAAAAAAAAAGGAAAGTTTTTTAACCAGCTGCTGATTGCCTGCTCAAAAGGGCTCATTGGCCAATAACGAGGCAACAAACCGGTTCCCCCCTTCCCCCCTCCCGATGCCAGCCAAACATTACGGGCTATATACATAAACATATACTTATACATATATAGATATATTGCTGTGCATGTGCGTACATACATATAAAATGGCAATTTAAAGCGCCTATAAATATGCAATGCATTTTGTGCAATTATCGCAGCAAGCACGCATTTATTTATGATGTTAATGCCAAATAACAACCAAAATTCGAAATAAAAAATTCAGCAATATTTCGCCTGATGATAATTGCACACATTTTGCGCAAATTCACAAAACCACAGCAGACACTGCTGGAGGGAAGGGGGTACATGGAGGGGGTGGATGGGGGCGACGCTCGAAATGTTCTCATTTAAATTAGTGAAACGACAGAGCAAAGGGTGGAAGGCTGTGCGAGTGCACAATTTGCATAACCTGTGCGACAGAAATTGTAATTCATATTTTATTCCAATGAAAAAAAACAACAACAAACAAATCCATTTAAAACCTGCGCGCACAACAGAGACAGCAAAAGCGGGCGAAAAAAAAAGCTGCCAAATTTCGCTGCAATTGAATTCGCCCAATTCGCTGCTCACTTACAGGCAAAAGCCTGTAAGCATAAAACGCATTGCCAAATAACAGTTAATGCAAATGCGACGACATCAACGACAGCAACAACAATAGAAACAAGAAAACAGAAACGGTTAAGTTGAAAACGCCGAAGATGAAATACCCTAACAAATGTTTTATTTCTGACTTTTCCCTTTCAATTATGTATTTAGCAAAGAATCGTTTGCCCTACATAAAGTGATTTTCTATATACATATACATATACATATTTCTAGATATATATATAGACTATTTCAATGTTAATAAGATTTTGCTTAAGCAACTCGAATGTGGATAACGATCAAGTTGACAGGCGCTGCACATGTCGCGACAGATTAATAGGGTAACACGGGAACACCAACAACAAATACTTCTACATTTCTGTTCACATTTCCGTTATTCTTGTTGTTGTTATTGCTGCAGTCGTTGCATTTGAATATGTAATAAAAAAAGCATTTGGTACATGGGCTGAGTATTGGCTGCGGGTGGTTGTGTGTGTGAGCGTGTGTGTGTGCATGCGTGCGTATGCCTGCGTGTGTGTGTGTGTGTGTGTGTGTGTGTGCGGTTTAGTTTGGCATTTTGTTGTAAATTGCCTTTGGGGCAACCCTATGTGCAAATAATGTAGCGCGTGTTGTTGTTGTTGCTGTTGCTGTTGCTGCTGCAGCGAGGCAACGGCCCTCGTAACACGCTGACAGGCGACTTTTGCGGTTTGTTTGGGGCAGTTGCAAAGCTCTCTCCATTATATGCTCTATGCGCATTGTTGTTGTTGTTGCCGTTTATTTGGCGTTGCCAGGCTGTCAGTTTTTGCATTGGCTGTCGCCTAAAATATGCGCGCATTTTATTTAACGCCTTTTTTGGTGCAACAACCCCCTCCCTCCCGCCCACTCACAGTTAATGGTTGGCTGGTCAAGTCCGTGTCAGCGACTTAATTGCAAACTCATATTGGCCAGCTTATAGCGCGTCAATAACACATTTGTGCCCCGACCCTAGCGTAGAAAGAGTATTATCACATCTGCCAGAGTGGAATATAATGGAATTACGATCGATTTTTAAATAAACACTGATTTTGACTTTAACTGGGAAATATTGTTTAGCTGGGCGCAGTTAAGGTTTCCTTGTTTCCTGTGGAGATTGACAAATGTAAAGTAATTAGGCTGCAAACCAGAAACGGAAATGTCGCTGGTTCGAAGCATGACACAAACTAACTTTCTGCTTACCATTTCGTATCGTGAGGCTAGTTTTTCATATAAATTTCATAAAATTTTAAATTATTTGTTTTAGATTCAATTACCAACATATCTTAAATTAAGTAGAGAAAATAAAATAAAATAATCTAAATAAATAAATAAAAATTGATTTATCAATATATTCAGTTTTCCATTGCTTTATATATAAATATCACATAAATTGTTTTTATCGTAATTAATTTATTCAAATGTTTCTTTAAGAACTTCATAAACCGTTTCTCAACACTTTTAAATCCCATCGCACCGCTGCCAAAAATATATTTTAATTCTATTTAATATATTTTATACTTAATCAAGCAATTTGAATAATTCCATTTACATTTTTGTTGTTTTTAGTAAGTACATCGAAACATTTTAATTATATCGCTTTGCCCATTTTTGGCCACAATTTCTGAGCACTTTGTTGTTAAAAATGTCTGAACGCAAATCCCATTAAAATAATTTACCAATAATAATATGCAAATTTGGCTAAAACCAACCAAAGGAAAAGCACTCGAAAAAATTTACTTATCAAAATAATTGTTTGGCAAATTGCAAAATTTTGCGGTCGCAAATGTCAAAAAATTAAAAATAATACATTTTACAATTTGCAATTAATCTCTAAAAATATTTGTAAGCCGCGTAGAGATCACATGTTGTTACCTCCGCGCCTCCCTTTCCCCCTTCCACCTCCCTCGTACATGTGCATTGCTTTATTAATATTAATTGAAAATAAATGCAGCATAAGCTGCGGCGGTCAAAGGGCAGGCAGCAGCGGGTCGGTTGGTTTGGCAAGGGGCTGGTGTGCGAGGAGGGGGGAGGGGGCAAAGCTGGCGGCGGCGGCCGAAAATTCAGTAAAATGCAAATAATTAAATGGCAACCAATAAAATATGCAAATGAGTTGCGCGGTGTCGCGCACAGGACGCGGGACACACACACACACACACACACACACACACACACGCACACACACACACACACACACACACACGCACACACACAACAAATGCAGCATGGAGAACAACCATTCTCTGGCACATAGAACTGCGGTTCGCGCCTGGCCATGGGCGGAGCTGGTCTACCATAATAGAGTGAGGGGGTAAGGGGGGTCGCTGGCTCACTTTATGGCATATTCACATACTAAACAATTTATACGTGTATCTGCCAAGCAGATTTAATTTCCTGTGCACCCAATTTTGTTAAATATGCTGTTGGCCAATACAATAACAACTCAAGTGCGAGCGAGACGGCCTGCATAAATTGCCGTTGCCGATTGGCTAACGGCATATTTTTGGTTGCCTTTCATAATTAGTTGATATATATATTTATATATAAATAAAGGTATATATACACGCACATAAACTATATAGGCATATATAGATATTGTTTTGGGCGATTCAACCAATAAATGCTCGTGCATTTAGCCTTAGATTAGGCCTAACTGCATTTGTTGTTAGCCAAAAGTTGCTTGTTGAGTGTCCATTTGTTCTGTTTGTTAGAAAATTCGACTCTGCGCCCTACAATGGATCAGGTAAACCAGGTCTGCATAGTCAAAAATTATGGTATTACGAAAGGATAAACACTTTTGACATGAAGTGCACAGAACTTTAAGCTGGGCTTAGGATTAGCTTATGCGTACTTAAATTAATATTGCTATAGAATTAATTGGTTGATTATTCAACTCATTAAATATACTTCTATATAGTCTCACACAACAATTCTTTCACTTTGACTTAACACTGATAAGGCTTTACATATTCTTTATAATAATTAGCCAAGCTAAAATAAACTACATAATTAACGGATACTCATTCTGTCAGACTAGAAAGTTAAATTGTTTATCTTATTTCTGGTAAGTGCCAAAAAACACGGTGGTGTTTGACCCAAATTCACGCGCAAAAGTGAAAGAAGCGTGAAAAACATTTGTATTCTACTTTTTTGCTGGGACTTTGCTCAAATTCACGCCTAAAAGTGTAATAAACGTGGAAAACTTTCATATGAAACTTTCATGCTTACCATTCGATCAGCCTTAAAGCAAATTCAAATGATCTCTCTTTAAACTCCTTTGAGTCATGTTAGAAAATTGCGGGTCAAAGGTCAGCACAAGTAAGGTTTTGCTTTGATTCGCTACGAAATACGAATTTCTATATATATTTTTCAACTTTCCGCTGGGGGGAAATGGACAAAAAAGTGAATAAACTAAAATTAAATCAATTTTATTTAATTCTCTCTCCCTCTCTCTCTCTCTCTCTTTCTCTCTCTCTCTCTGTCTCTTGGCAGGCTTTGGATTACGATTGTGAGATGCAGGGTCAGCAGGACATACCGCAGGCGATTCAGCTGCTGGGCGAGATGAACAGCAATGTGAAACAGGTGACGGATCTGGTCGAGGGAATGCTGCAGCGCGTCAAGCGCGGCGAGCTGAGCACAGAGTACGGCCTGAGCTTCCTGGAGGTCAAGTACCATATGCTGCTCGACTACTTGATCAATCTGACATATGTGGTGCTGCGCAAATGCTCCGGCGAGACCATCGAGGGTGATCCCTCGATTGAGCGCCTGATCGAGATACGCACCGTGCTGGAGAAGATACGGCCCATAGATCACAAGCTGCGCTATCAGATCGACAAGCTGGTCAAGACGGCGACAACTGGAGTTTCGAGCAGCACAGATCCCATACTCTACAAGCCGAATCCCGAGGAGATGCTCAGCGCTGCTGGTGCCGACGCTGAGCAGGAGGCCGATGCGGCAGCCAGCGACAGCGATGAGGCTGACGACGAGGAGGGCGACGAGGCCGACGGGGCTGGCGCTGCGAAAAAGCCGCGCAAGGCGGCCACAGCCGGCAAATCGGGCGTCTATGTGCCGCCGCGCATTAAGCCCGTCTACTACGACGGGGATGAGCGGGACGCGGACAAGGAGCAGAAGGCACTGGAGCGTGCCAAAAAGCGTGCCATCACGTAAGACCATATCTGCCCAATGCAATCTATATAGTCTATGCTAAATCAATCCTACCCATAGCTCGTCGATGCTGCAGGATCTGAAGGAGGAGTACTTGGATGCGCCCACTGAGCTCTCCTCTGGCTCGCGCGCCCAGCAGCTGCTCTCGCAAGCGCAGAAGGAGAAGCAGGAGTACGAGGAGACCTACCTGGTGCGTCTGCCGGTCACCAAGGCGGAGAAGCATCGTCAGCGAAAGCTCACCACATTGGGTAAGTCCGTCATTTATTCATATTTATCCTTCTATGCATATTATATGTTACACAGGCACTCTGGGCGATGAAATTCTGGGCGAGATCAATCGGGAGTCGGCGCTGCGTGGCGATGGGCTAAGCAAAAAACGCAAATTGGCCAAAAGCCGCGGCAAGGGCAAGAAACGTGTTGGCAAAAAGCGCAAATTCCATTAATGCGCCGAGGCCCCAGTTTCGAAGGACTTTTTTCCAATCGATTCAAATAATTTGAGTTTTCCCATTCATTTATGATATTCGCAACGGAATGCAATTTGAAAGCTTAGTTAACAATAGTTTATGTACTTTTCGATTGTTTCTTCAATTCATATTGATTAATTTTATCAAAAAAAAACAACAAAATATTTTGTTGCATGTTCTGTTCATATTTTACCAAAATGTTAAGTTTTTAACTATCCAAAACTTTAATTTTTGCCTAATTTTAATTTCCATTAAATCAATTTCATTGTTAAAACTTAACTTCACAAAGGCAACGTAATTTGGCGTTGGATATTATCAAAATATTAATTTTATATATATAATTAAGCAGGCAGCAACAACAACAAAATGCCACAAAAATGCGTTTAAAAAAAACCAAAAAAAAAAAAAAAAAGAAATGAAAAAAAAATCATGTATATGCGCATTGTAAACTGCATTAAATTTAGGCCACAAAATTAAGTACATAATATTTTCTTTCGACTTACGCTACAAAAATGTATTTAACACTAAATTAAGCAAATACAAAATTAAATGGCGAAATTGAAAGCAAAATTCAAAATTAGCAAGAAAAAACAAATCCTTCTAGTATATTTATAAATGAAAATTTCCACTTAAAACTAAACTTTAAGGCACAGCAAAATTTTTGCATTTAGCAAAAGAAACCAAAAACTAAAAAAACGTTTCGTTGTTTTTAGGAGTCCAACTAAAATGAAATATCATCAAATTTTGGCTGCTTTTGATATGCTTTCACAAAATACTTGCAATATAATATTAAATTCATGAAAGTTGAGCAACAAAATTCAAATTCAAAAATGCAGTTCCCAGTCACATGTAAAAATTCAAAAAACCAAAAATCCTAAAACATATACAAAAAACAACAACAACAACAAAAAAAAAAAGAAAACAAAAAAAAAACAAATACAAAACTGAACACAACAAATTACAAATTCTGTAACAAAAAGCAGTTGCCTTAACAAAAATACAAGAGACCGGTTATACTTACAGTAAGAAAGCTTAAGAAGTGAACAAAAATTAATGAAAATATTTGACAACAACTTTTCTGTTGCAACACATAGAAAATCAAGAAAATCAAGAAAATATACCTATATAGCATATGATAAACGTAAGCCCCACCCAAAAGTAAATTATACAGAAATTAACCTAAAGCTACCCAAACAAGATTCTGAATTTTTATGGTACGTTCCATTCTAATGTGTGAGGCCCTTGGATATTTTATAGTTTCAGGCCGTTTCTTGTTTTACTCAACTACAACAAAAATAAACAAAAATAATAATAAAAAGAAAAGCAACAAAAAACAAAAACTGAAAAAAAAAAAGAGAAAACTCCTAAAAACAACTGAATTTGGACACAAAATTTTATATATTTACTATACGAATATTTAATGATTAACTAAATTTAAGCAACATTTTTGAATAACCCAAAAAAATAAGAAGATGAAGAAGAAGAAAACTTAAAGAAAATGAAAATGAAGCCAGCGTACGTCCAGTTGAGAGAGAGTTGAAAAGTTTCTTAAATTTAGCCAACGCAGGAAAATTAAGCGAAAAACCAAGCAGTTTATGAGACGAAGGCGCATATAGGAAAGAGTTGAACCAGCGGTAAATGGAGTCATATGAATGATATATAACAAGCATATATAATTATTACAATAATATGTAAATGATAAACGGAGAGCAAAGAAAACCCTAGCAACTAGAATTAAGTTAAAATACGATTAAACAAAGCAAAGCAAACTTTTGGCTTTTACAACAAACTTCGACTAAGGATGAAAAATTGTTTTTTCCAAATTTCCATTCAAATTCGCGATCGAAGCATCGCTGTTTGAGATATAAAACTATATACATTTTTGGCTATAAACTTTAAAGAGCGCAAAATAAGGCAGACAACGGAAATTACCACATAAATGCAATAGAACACGAAATTATTTACAGGCAGCACTTGAACATTTTGTAATGCGATTAAATAAATTAATTTAATTAATTTATTTATGTTGAAAGCTGAAAGACTGAATATGTTAAATGAAACACGATACGTAAACGAAACGAAACGAAACGATACGAAAACGAAACGAAACGAAAACGAAACAAAAACTTTTCTCAAGCAAAACAAAAAGTAAGGTTAAAGTGAGACGTGGTATGGAACTTAAATAATTTTAATAGCCGAATTTCTAGCACAAATTATTAAGACTAAAAGATATTACGTTTTTTATTTTTTATTTTTAATATTTTTTTGTCAACATTTTCAGTTCACAATTTTTCGGTTCAACTTCCATTCAAATGCAATTATTCGTTTTTTGTGTAAAATGAGAATATGGTAAAAAAAACCGCAACAAGAGACAAACAGACAACGGACAACAAGACAAAACAGACAACAGAGAAAGCAATTAATATTGTTGAATATATTGCAAAATGTAAAACACAAAACGATAAACAAAACAAAGTGAAAACAACCAAACAAAAGTCGCCTTAGCCTAGCACCAAACACAAACAAAACAAAACGAAACGAAACGAAATGAAATGAAACAAAACTAAATAAAAAAGAGAAACAAAATGGAAATGGTATGAAACATTTGTGAAACATTCAAATACATTCACACTTTAAAGCAAATACTTAAACTTAAATATCAATTATTTGTTGTAATTTAAACACACACACACACACACACACACACACACAGACAGACACACACACACACGCATGCACACAACTTGTGCAAAAAGTTCAAAAAGCAAACCTAAAAAATGTAACTTAATTTTTATAGCCAAAAAAAGAAGAGGAAGCAGCAGTTAATAGAAGAGCAGCTGGAATAGCGGGATCTTAGGATCTTAGATTTAGTTTAAGCAACTCCAATAAATTTTACAAAAATCAATTGGTTATTAGTGATAGCAGAGAGACATGTTTTTAATAACAAATTCGAGCTTACATTTATTTCAAAAAAAAAAGAAATTCTAACGCACACACACACACGCACACACACACAGCGAAAGAAAAAGCCTTCAATATTAATTCTCTCCAAAACTGGAATTGTTTAAGACAGAATGAAAATTTACGAAAATGATGTTGTATAGCAGCAGCAGGTGAGTCAAGTTTAAAAGTAGTGTTTAATGTGCACATTGCAATTGTGTGTGTAAATGGTTGGCAGTCGAAACTATGTAAAATTGATATAATTCGAATTAATCTACCATTTAATAATAATTAAAATACTAATAATAATAATAATACTAATTATAATAATAATACTAGTAAGCAACAAGTAAAAAACTAACTAATAAACCAAAACCACAAACAATGATAAAAATAAAATTTAAATCTTACAAACCTAAAACTATCAACAGCTAATTTATTGTTTATTTCCTGGTGTTCTGTCTTATAGCTATTACTCGTACATTGTCTATATATTCTTACATATGTACATTCCCGACTTACATAACATAATTTTGATTTTAGGTCAATTGAATGAGAATCACGTTGCTCGTATGAAAGGTATGTATGTCCCTTAAAAGAAAAAGCTATAGCTAAGTCATATTCTTATAGATTTTGCTATTTTACAAGAAAGTCGGTTCCGATATCGGTCATTTTTAATATATAATAAAATCCATATTATGGAAATGTTTATAATAATTATAATTTGAAGAACAAGCATATTAGTTTCAACTTTCGATATATACCCTTTTTTATACTCGTACGGATACCGATTATTATATATTATATTTCCAAGATCGAAATTTATTGACCCACTATTAATACCCATAACCATGTCTCAAAATCTCTGCCTAAAATTGTCGGTCATATTTTCTAGTGGGGTCAGAGAATTAAACTGAGAGAGCGCAAAGCAGACAAAAAAAAATAAGTGCACAAGAAACAGAGCAAGTCGTTTGAGCGCTGTGCAGCAGTAGATAACTCGCTCATTTGGTTAACCGTCTGCATACTCTTGCTTGTGTGTGTGTGTATGCTTGTTTATCTACTGAATCATGCTCCCACGAACATATGTACATACATATGTATGTGTTGTTGCTTATCACTCTCAACAAAATTTCCGCTTGCGACTCCGCATCAACATTCTGCTAGTGTGACCCCAGTAGTAAATAGTATTGCAAATTTTTATATTTTATTGTCACTTTAAAATATCATTTGAAGTAATCGATTAGACCACCTAGTTTACAGTTTATTTATCCGAAATACAATCAATTGAACTTTTTACATAATTCAACCACATATCTAACAATCCCACTCAAGCAACAATGCAATTTCCTCAGCCTGCCTGAATGTGTGTGTAAGTCGAGTTGTCTAGTGGGGCTTAACTGCCACAGAACTATATTGAGAGAAAGAAATAGAAACGAGAGTTTTGCATGAATAGATAACTTACAAACTCACATACCTACATGTGTGTATATTTGGCAATCCTTCTTCATACACCTATTTATGTACATGTATGCTTGTGAGTTATCTACTTAGGCATCGTGCTTGGCGCTCTCAATAAAATGTATGGGTATTCATCTCATGATAGTTTGCTTGCTGTACTTTATTCTGCTCGACTTTGCTCTTAGTTAGTCTTACGCCAGCAGTCAATTCGATCTGCTAATGTGCTGCGCGTTGTAGTCGATTAAAGCATTTTACATATTGAATATAAATATAAGACCTTTAAACTAATTGGCCTTAAAATATTTCAATTTTAATGGTGGAAAATTCAAATTCATCTTGGAAAACTCAAATTGAATATATTGCGTATTTCGCATATCACGTTGACTACTGGGGTCAAATTAACATAGAATTGCGTTACGCGGGCACAAAGTGGACAGAAAAAATCAGCGCGCAGAAAGCAATAATAGTTCATGCACATGGGTATATTTATGTATGTATGTATTGGTCTGCATAAACTGGCTTGTTACTGTGTGTCTGCTTAAACGTTATCTTCAAATTGATCGCACTCCATCAAAATTTGTTGTTGCTCGTCGCTCCTAACAAGAATTTACTTGATCTCTTTTATGTGTGTCGTTTCTTCGTCCGTTATTTACATGCATGCATGTATGTATGTATGTGCGCATATGTAGATAATGCACAAGCACGCGCTTACACACGCTTACACACATATGTACATACATATGCTCGCCCAAATTGGACAGTCTTCTCTCACTCTGTGTTAGTTTTATTCCAGAAGTCAATTTGATGCGCTGTTTTGTTGAGAATTAAAGTCGTTTGAAGCTATTGCAAAATATAATTGGAATGTCTCGGTCAAATACCGTCCAATTGGCGATTTGTTTACCTTCTCGGACGCGTACGTATTAGGACTATTGATGGTCATTGAAAATAACGCTTTTTCTTTTATTTAGATGCCTCCAGCTGGGGAACAGCATTGCTCGGTTCTCTTTCGTATCGCGTGGGCTTGGACAGCGATTGAATACTTAACCGATCCCATTGCTTATTTTTCATATTGCAACACATAAATATGCTCGATAAAGACAAGGTAAGAGCATAAGTTAAATGGCTTTGAATTTGTAACAAATTGACCTACATATTTTAGGCGAGCCGGGATCAACTCCTTTGTGCTAGTCTGCCAGAGAGGTCGGTGCAATTATGTGGTCGGAATTAAAAAGGGGTTTCTGCTCTATCTCGCCCGTCTGCCGCTGCCATTAGGATGAGGACATGGCTTGTGGATATCTTTTGCCGACAACTCTGCACCTGCTGCTGCCGTTGCCACGCCCTACAGATTTCTGGTATTCACAGCTCCAAGTATGATGATTCTCTATTTTCTGTTGTAATCGGGTATAATCGACTACGCGGTAGCCGTTGATCGAGTCTGTCTAGCCCCCAAATTTAATGTCAGATATCATTTTTCCGATTTGCCAAGCCTCCAATGGCCGTAATTTTCGAATGAGCTTAAGTTGTTCGTAAGGATATGTCCAAATTACTCAGTGGATCACTTCTAAAATCAACATTTTAAATGTTCTGCAAAACGTAATTAATTATGAATTGTGTATAAAAAAAAATGCAAGTGTGCATTGCATTCGACAACAATGTTTAAACGAGCTTATACACATTAATCTATACATATATTATGTATGTACGTATATGCATAACAATTCACTTTCTATACACTTGTTTGTGTGCGTATTTGCTTGAATGTTATTCATGTAGGCATGTCTGTAATTGCCATCAGAGGAATAACTTGCGCGAGCGAGCACTAGAGCAAAAGTTGCTGAGAGCGTGCGGAAGAGCGCAATGCATACTCAGATAATGCACGAGCAGGCATATACACACATGTGCACATGTTGCGCTTACCTCTGCATAAACTTGTTTGGATGTGTGTTCGCTGTTGTGTTATCTACATATATATGCTCTACGCTGGTCGCTCTCCTGCTGATCGCTGATTGGTCCATGCAAGAGTTGGCTGTGCACGAATTTATCTTAGAATAATTTGCTTGCTCAATTTCTGTGCGCCGGTTTTTGTCGTCCGCTGTACGCAATATAATTCTGTTTTAGTTAAACGGCAACTGCCGTGTAAAGCTGTTTAGAAATAGATTAAGTGTGATTTCTCGGGTAAATACTGTCCGTTGCCCTAATGGTATAAAATGGCAATGTTTACATGAAAACTCTGCCCAAATCGGGGCCAGTTAAAAACAATTTATTTTATGTTCTGTGTAATTTAAAGACTTACAAAGTCTCAAGTTTTTTATAAAAGTAATTAACTTTTTCATTTTCCATAAGTTTGCACATATGCATACATACATTTTTATCGATTCCCTTTGCATAGACTTGTTTGTGTGTGTGTTTGCTAAAATGTTATTTATGCATGCGTGTGTGTAAATGCCATGAGAGAAAGAACTTGCGTGAGCTGACACCACAACAAATCTTGTTGAGAGCGATCAAAAATTCGGGAGAGCGCACTAGATAATACACGAGCAGGCATATACACATGCGTATAAACATATTTGGCAATTCTCTCTCCATGCACTTATTCAGTTGTGCGATATCTACTTATGCACGTGTGTGTCTTTTTGCACGTTATCTGGCGTTGAATTGCGCTCAGTCTAACTTTTGGTCGCCTACTCAACTTTCTGTATGCCCATCTTTGAGTGATTTTGGCAACATAGTTATGTTTAAGTTAAACGGCAGCTGCCGTGAGAAGCTGTTAAAAAATATTTAACTCGTACGAATCGTGATTAACATTTCAATTCGCAATCGGTTCTTTAACCAGAGTTATAATGTTGTGTGAACTTTAAAGGCTTAATATGCTTAAGGGTATATATTTCCCAAGTCGAAGTGATTTAATCGATAAAATGCGACTTAAAGCTTACAAACAAATAATTTTTTGTTAAACATTGGCTCGTTTTATGCGTAGACGTTTGTGCTAATGCTCATAATTTAGACTACTTGGTTATTTACTTAATTTTATTTGTCTTAATGTAAATAAATATGTTTTAAACTCTTCAGATTGAGGGATTCAAGGATTCATCGATTTTAAGGACTTTCACAAGGCTTTTCTGCAAGGTTCGGACTGTGTATTAACCTAAATAAAGTCGATTATTAATCAATTTCTTATTTTCAGATTCAGGAAAATCTGCAGCTTTCAATGACAAAATCAAATCAATATTGTTGGTACCTAGTTGACCCACATATCCTTGGTTATTCCATACAATGGATATAGTGAACCTAGAGGGCGAATATGGTCCAAAAATATGTATGCTTTTTCAGCCGTCCCATTTAATTTCCCGCCCCTTGCTGGTTCCTAGTTGACTGAAATATCCTTGGTTCTACCATACCATCGATATAGTCCTTGGCAACCTACAACAAATCCCTGCAAAATTTGCATTGAAATTAACCAAAAGCATTTATTTTCCTTTTAGCAGCGCCTGTAAATAACCAGCAGCTGCAGCTGCTAACTAACAGCCGATCTTACAGCACTCATTTTACATTAACTGCTATTTAACATAACTCATTTTACATTTTTGCCCACACGGGTATGCAACAAAAATTTTTATTCAAAAAATTTCGTCGACCTTCTGAGCATTTCTGTTCGCCTGGTACTTCAGCGGAATTTCAGTACAAATTGGGGACCCAGCCGCCGACGAGCGAGCCCCTTTCGGGTATGCAACAGAAAATTTTCGGACGCTGAAAAATTTTGTCTACCTTCTATATATTTCTGTTTGCCTGGTATTTCAGCAGAATTTCAGAAAAACCTCGGCATCCGGCAACAGATTTTTAACGACAGTTGATTTTTGAATTTTTTGCAATCCCATATCTCTTAGAAGTAAAACCATGAATTTGTTTAATAAACGTTTTATTTATTTACGTTTAAATAAACTAAGTTATTGTTTTTCACATATATTTTCGATTTTAACTTAAAATGTCCATATTTGGCTTAAAACATATCCGATCCTGGAAGGAATAGCCTCGTTAGATTCGTAAAAGTCCTTAGAATCGATTAGAGTCCTTAAATCCTTCAATCTGAAAAGATAAAAACACATTTGAAACAAAAATGTCAAAAGAGATATATAAGGGTATTTTGAGAAAAGAAATGGCCATAACTCCGGCATATCCTTGCAGATCCTTGCAGGACATGGTGCGTTAGGATCGTGGGGACCAACTGCATCGAACTGCATCAAAACATTATGGGGTCATCTAAGAATCCTGGACTTGGTAATTTTTTAGTCGCGGGCCGCAAGCAAAATTGGTTAAAATCATCAAATTACAGTAAAATCGCGATATCTCTGAAACTATAAGGACGATCTTAATGTAATTTGGCCAGATTGTAGTCCTGGTCAATACAATTTTTTTGACACAGGACTCGTCAGGATACGCCAGGATATGGCCGAGTTATAAGCTATTTTCGGTTGACTATTTTGTCCTTAAAACTTTTTTGTCCGAAGGACTTTCGTCCTTTGGATTGTATATTCGTAAATGGGATGATGAGGACTATCTACTGTCCAAAGGACATCGCGATAGTCCTTCAAATGGCAAAGTTAGTCTCGAATTTTTCGATTTTTGGTAATTTTCTGACTAAACCCCTGTGAAAATTTTTCGTGAAATTTTTTGTCGAATTCTGGAAATCCTTGAATGCTAATCGATAGTCCTGCTCCCCACGACTTCAGAAAGGTATATCCTTTGGGTATCCTTAAGGATATGACCAAGATATGGCCATAAATAGAATGTCCTTTTTAGAAAATAAGCTATATCTCAGAAACGACAAGGACGATCCTAATGTCCTTTGGCCTGATTGAAGTCCTAGTCAATGCGCGCTGTTTGACTAGGACTTGTCAGGATCCGCAAGGATACAGCTGAGATATAACTATTTCAATGTACAAACCAAATGTCCTTAAATCTTAGTCATTTGAAGGATCTTCGTCCTTATCATTATGTTTTCTGAATGGGCAAGACAAGGGTAATCTGATGGTCAAAGGACATGTTGAAAGTCCTTAAGGTGCCCAAGTTATGTCTAGTTTTATAACAGTATCCTTTTTGGAAGAATAACCATAACTCGGCCATATCCTTGGGGATTTTCAAAGGATATGGGGCGTTAGCATCGTGAGGAGCAAGCGCATCGATCTACATCAAAAAGTTGCGGGATCATCTAAAAATCCAGGACATAGTAAATTTTTGAGCCCCGGATTGCAAAGAAAAAAGGCCATAAAACGCAAAATACTGAATCTCTCCGAAACTACAAGGACGATTGTGATGCCCCGGTCAATACAATTTAATTGATAAAGGACTTGTCAGAATACGAAAGGATATGTGAGAGTTACTGGCAAATTTTATGAGTACGCAAATGTCTCTTTTCTTAACTCTTGTAAGGACTTTTGTTTTGTGTTTCTTTATCTTGAATTGACAGGATTCTACATTAGGCAAGGGACATGAGATTAGTCCTTGAAATAAGCAAGATAGAGAATCAACAAAATGAGCGAGTTGGAGCAATTATTTTTAAAAGTTATAGCGATAATTTGAATTACTTAATCTCGAATTCGAAAACAACGCCAATTGGAGGCTTGGCAAATCGGAAAAATGATATCTGACATTAAATTTGGGGGCTAGACAGACAGACTCGATCAACGGCTACCGCGTAGTCGATTATACCCGATTACAACAGAAAATAGAGAATCATCATACTTGGAGCTGTGAATACCAGAAATCTGTAGGGCGTGGCATCGGCAGCAGCAGGTGCAGAGTTGTCGGCAAAGGATATCCACAAGCCATGTCCTCATCCTAATGGCAGCGGCAGACGGGCGAGATAGAGCAGAAACCCCTTTTTAATTCCGACCACATAATTGCACCGACCTCTCTGGCAGACTAGCACAAAGGAGTTGATCCCGGCTCGCCTAAAATATGTAGGTCAATTTGTTACAAATTCAAAGCCATTTAACTCATGCTCTTACCTTGTCTTTATCGAGCATATTTATGTGTTGCAATATGGAAAATAAGCAATGGGATCGGTTAAGTATTCAATCGCTGTCCAAGCCCACGCGATACGAAAGAGAACCGAGCAATGCTGTTCCCCAGCTGGAGGCATCTAAATAAAAGAAAAAGCGTTATTTTCAATGACCATCAATAGTCCTAATACGTACGCGTCCGAGAAGGTAAACAAATCGCCAATTGGACGGTATTTGACCGAGACATTCCAATTATATTTTGCAATAGCTTCAAACGACTTTAATTCTCAACAAAACAACGCATCAAATTGACTTCTGGAATAAAACTAACACAGAATGAGAGAAGACTGTCCAATTTGAGCGAACATATGTATGTACATATGTGTGTAAGCGTGTGTAAGCGCGTGCTTGTGCATTATCTACATATGCGCACATACATACATACATGCATGCATGTAAATAACGGACGAAGAAACGACACACATAAAAGAGATCAAGCAAACGGTAATAAGATAAATTCTTGTTAGGAGCGACGAGCAACAACAAATTTTGATGGAGTGCGATCAATTTGAAGATAACGTTTAAGCAGACACACATTAATAAGTAGACAACGCATGAGGAAACAAATTCACAAGCCAGTTTATGCAGACCAATACATACATACATAAATATACACATGTGCATGAACTATTATTGCTTTCTGCGCGCTGATTTTTGCTGTCCACTTTGCGCCCTCGCAACGATGTTTTCCGTTCGTTTCATCCCAGTAGTGAATTCGGCAACAGCAGGCTGCCGCTGTTAGTTCCCACTTGTGATTGTGACAACATGATGAATAGTTAATGCGCTGATTTTAATTTAGAAAATAAATAAACACTATAGTATTTTTTTAAAAGCTTGAATGAATTGTAACATGAATCACGAATTGAAACACACGCTAGCAATTTATTTTGTGGTGTGTCATATTGACTACTGGGGTCAATTAATACCAAAAGATGTGCAAGGCGGGCGAGGCACAGTACAGATAAAATAAACGGTATGGGCGCGATGCACAAGTGTAGTAGATAATTTAAACAAATTGACGTGCGAGAGAAAGAGATAGCCTCTTTTGGTTGTCATTTAATTTGGCGTTTTCTGCATTGCTTGTGCAGGAGTTCTTATGTTGAATTTTTCTTGCCCTATTTTGTTGTCTTTTAAGCCTTACAAAAAATTACTACTATTAATTACTACTTACTACTATTAATTGGGTAATTATCGTCCACTTTACGGCCCACTAGAAAAATGTTTTGCTTTTCTGACTATACATTACTTAACTTTATAATTTTGGTTGCATGTCTACTAACAAGGGTATATAATCTTCGACGTGTTAATATATTTTTGTGTTTGGTGATTTTTGGTAAAAAGCGCCATCTACTAAAATTCGATGTTAGATGGCGCCATCTACAAGAACTCTTTGTTCGATAGCGCCATCTACAGAAACGGCTAGATCGTTAGCGCCATCTACAGAAACCGTTTTTTCGATATCGCCATCTATAGCAATGCAGCACAAGTGGGATCGCAGTTCATTTAACGACCGCATGGTGTCGCACCTTTCATTGCTCATACGCCCTGCGCCACAATTGCGCTTGCCATGAAATGTGATTTGAAATTGCAACTCGCCTCTGCCGTATAAAAAACCCGTTACATTGCAATCAAGCAGAATGCTTGACGTAATCTATGGCCATCTCTTTCCGGCAGTCGCACGCTCTCGCTCTTTGACTAATTTTCGGCTGTGCTGGGAAACAAGTCGAGCGACAATTTCGCCGGCGCTTGGTGGGCGTAGAACAGGAAATGGTCGATTTGTGTGCCATTTATAAAGCGCACCGAGAGGAGAGATCGCCGATGTGAATGCGAATACATATATGTATATGTATATGTACGTATAAGTATATGCATGTAAACTAACTGTTGCATAAGTGTTTTACTTAGTTCGGGCACATGCAACAATTTCGCAACTATTTTAAGCAATCAATGGCTATCAATAGCATTAGCTGCTGCAGTGCGCCTTAGTTCTAGCTAATATACACACAGAGAAAAACGTTGTTCGAAAATGTCTTCAAAAAACTTGAATTTTTAAAAAGATTTCTATACTCTTCAACTACTTATCTAGATTTTAGTACTATATTTGAGTCTATTTCAACGAATTAGGCTTATGTGTCGTGCATTTTCTCTCAGTGTACTTTAATAGGTACTATGTGCATTCATTCATTCAATGAGCAAAACGTAATTGCATTTCACATTGCACTTTTTAATGCCTCATCATTGTCAGTTGTCACAATTGCTTTTGTTTATTTCGAAGTGGGCTTTGAGAATCGCATAGAGAAGTGTGTGTAAATGAAATGTTTTCAACTTGTCAAAGTGCGTTTAATAGAACAATTCACTTGATGAACTAAGTAAGCGAGCATTAATTGCATTTAAAGCTTTTCCCGCTAATAAATCACTAAGATATATTTAAATCAGAGCAATTAGAGAAAAGCGAATATTTATCATTTAATGACAGGAATTGTCGTGTGATCTGGACTCTATGGCAGTATTTCTCAAGCTCAAATATAAAAACGTACTCACTTTTGCCTGAGCCTCGTTGCCTAAATGTATCCCTACCCTGGAGAATGCAGCTCCTGACTTTGATCTAGGCCAGATCCTGCCAGATCAGATCCTACTATATGCTTGGCTGTCTGCGGGATGTGCACTCGCTGCCTTGGACAACTCATCTTTGGAGGCGAATATTGTAACTGGAACGAAAAGCAGCAGATTTCAATTTTATAATTGAGTTGTTATTAAATACCTCTTGTATTGAAAGCAAATTCGTGTAATAATTATTAAATAAAAATTATTTTGCACATAAGTCCGACAAAATGTGCCAAAGTCGAGATTCCGCTTATAAGCCAAGCGGAATCTAATATTAAATTGCTGCAAATAATAAATAAACAATAGAATCGATGCCAAATGCGTTTGTCAGCAGAAACTTTTCCCGCAATTGAAATATAAAACAGGAATTTAGCAATCACACACATAAATGTATATAGATATAGTTGATGGTTAAGTCTAAAACCATTTCAAGGCCGAATACATTAGATTTTGTTATTATTGCCAAACAATATTGATTTTCTGTTTAGCTGGAGATTTCCCTTGTGCCCATTGCTTGTCTAAAATATTCCCTTTGAATGGATGTCAGTCGAGGGAATATTTACTTGACATTCTATCCATAATAATCTAGCAAATTCATAGGAGACACTCGAGAGGCGTTGAAAGACAATGCTCCTGTTGTTGTTACCCGGCGGCTCTCAATTGAAAGTCGAGCTCGCGGATGAGGCAAACGCACAGACACACATACTCAAACATACTTATACACAATGGGAGCATACTCATATGTATTCATATACACTCACTTGTACTCATATATACTTGCACTTAATACACGTATTTGTGCGAGTCGCGGCAGGCGGACAAACCGAATGAAAAACAGCCGCAACAACTAACAATAAGAATTCTAATGGACATACTAATAGCAATAATAGTAATAATAATAATAATAGCAATGAATTGCATAGGCTGAGAAATCAAGGCAGCAGCCAGACGAGACGGGAGGCAACTTTATAAAGTGCGCTCAGTGTCAAAGGAAATCATATTTCATCTGGCAATTAGCCCCGACGAGCCGTGAATTTCTTTTCGTCTTTGCTGTTTTTTTTTTTTATTAATTGGCCACAGAGTTGCTCTCGGCTAGGGCAAATACTGGAATAATACCTACCCTATACACTTACACGGAGCATAGTCAGTGTCTTCCAGTTCAATTAAACGAAATTGTGTCACGCGCGTATCTCCATGTCGCTGGACTGAAGACTTATTCCAATAATTGCCCAACTTGTCTGCACAAAATGGTAGGGTATATAAGCTTCTCTGTTAGCAGTTGTAAGTGCCAACTGTAGGGTATATAAGCTTCTCTGTTGCCATATGCATTTATATATATTGTAGGGTATATACGCTTCTGTGTTGGTAGCATTTGTGCGTGCATTTGGCAGGGTATATACGCTTCTCTGTTGACATTCTTCCATGACATGCTTCCATTTGGTAGGGTATATACGGTTCTGTTCGGTGGACAGAATCTTATTACCCTACAGCGAATGTTCTTTATGCCCTGCCGAAAATGAGTAAAAAAAAGTAAGAATATTAGTTACGGAATATATACTTAAATGTAAAAAACCTATTGATTGTTTTCTATACTAATAACTTATACTATATTTTATGATATTATGCTAATGATAATGATATTTCTTGCACTATATTCAAACTCTAAAAGTTCCTTAATTCTTCAGATAATTTCACTGATATTTAGGAATATTCTTATCTATCAAAGCAATCGTGACTATATCTTGGGACTTTGTTTTGTACTAATTTGTTGTACTATATTTAATAGTATTAGCAAAATGCTTTAAATATTGATCGGTACATAATTTTCTTCAGTATGTATAAATTAGAATGAGCAGATCTTGATAATTTGCATGACTGTGTTTTGTGGACTGAATTTTAGGAAATTTCTTCTTTTTTTTTGCACTAATTTGTTATATATTATAGCTCGACACAGTGTAAATCTGAATGTATCTTGATTAAGACCGACACTTGTTGCTGTTGTTCAACACGTCGCTCAATTTTGCATATGAGAAACCAACTGCGACGCCGACGCCGACGTCGACTGAGGCTGAACGGCTGCGTCGGCGTCGCTGCAGCAGAAGAAAATCTGTTGCGGCCCTCTGTGGCAGTTGTCAAAGCGAGAGAAAAGAATCTACTTGATTGAATGTGTGGCACGATGATTGCTCTGCCTGATGCTGCTGATGATCATGATGGTCATGATGGTCATAATAATGACGATGATGATCGCAGCGTTGGGGATAATGATCAACGCCTGCGACTTGAAACGCAGGCGTCGACGACGCAGCTCTGGGGCTTTGGATTGGATTATGGCACGAGCTGGCGACTCAGTTGAGTCCAATTTCTGGAACGGGAAGTGTCGATCAGTCTGTCAACGCGAACGCGTGCGCCGCAGCCCGAAGAAAAGGAATATCTAGGATATTGACACGCAAACAACAATATATATATATATATATAGTATAAAGCTATATAGATCCGATATATCAAAGGATACTCCATTGTTCAGACGCGGCGGAGTCGTGGAAAAGCGTGAAAAAATGCCAACCATAACCGAGGACTGCATCGATGGCTTTCAACAATATTATTCGCGTCCACCGGAGCCGCCCAAGAAGAAATCGTTCAAGCAGATGATTCACGATCCCGAGGATAATTCATATTTTGGCAGGACTATCGAAAGCTGGGGTAAGTACGGCCAAAGACCAGCCAGGGCCAGGGAAACAGTCATCGTTTCCTTTTTTATTTCTTCAGTTACGTAAAGCGCACAGCGTAAATCTTAATAAATGTCAAGCTGTGCCAGTTTGGATTTAATCAAAATCTTTTGTTGCCGCATTAGCGCAACACACAGAAACAGATAGGCACGGATGCAGATACACACATATACAGAGATACGCGGATACGCACAGATATATGTACAGATACAGATACAAATACACATAGATATTAATTCAGATTCAGATTTAGATTTAGATTCAGATTCAGATGATACAGATACAGATACAGATACAGATACAGATACAGATACAGATACAGATACAGATACAGATACAGATACAGATACAGATACAGATACAGATACAGATACAGATACAGATACAGATACAGATACAGATACAGATACAGATACAGATACAGATACAGATACAGATACAGATACAGATACAGATACAGATACAGATACAGATACAGATACAGATACAGATACAGATACAGATACAGATACAGATACAGATACAGATACAGATACAGATACAGATACAGATACAGATACAGATACAGATACAGATACAGACACAGATACAGATACAGATACAGATACATATACAGATACAGATACAGATACAGATACAGATACAGATACAGATACAGATACAGATACAGATACAGATACAGATACAGATACAGATACAGATACAGATACAGATACAGATACAGATACAGATACAGATACAGATACAGACACAGATACAGATACAGATAGAGATACAGATACAGATACAGATACAGATACAGATACAGATACAGATACAGATACAGATACAGATACTCGCTCAGATACTTACAGATGGAGATACGGATACGCACAGATACAAATGCACATATGGCTGCAAATGCAGATAGATACGCAGATATGCAGATACAGACTTACAGATATATATAGAGATACGCAGGTTCACATACATAGATACTGTAGTTGTGCATATTGTGGGGTGGTCCAGCTTTTTATTGCCTGACTTTCACGCTTGGCACTTTGTTGTTCTCTGTGACCTTTGACGGACACATACACACAGACATACACAGATACACTTGCACTAACACACTCGCACACAAATACCACAGGGTACTCGACCAATATGCCGGTCAATTATGTCATTATGCAATCAAAGCATGCACCATGGCACAGCAATAACAACAACAACAACTACAACAACAACTCATGGCTGAGCATATAAAACACGGTCCCACATTTGCTGACATTGACTGAAAATTCTTTTTAGGTTTTCGCAATTCGATTAGGGGAAAATTTGGTATTATATTTAATAAACATAAATGAAATTAAGCGCATATGCTAAACATATATATTTTGAATATTAGTATAAAATATTTAGTTATTCGTTTAAATCCAAAACTCAACAGATTTTCTATTGGCACATGCAGGGCACGCTTTTTTAGGTTCCACGCAGTTAGAAGAAGAGGAAAAAATAGTCTTGCAAGAAATAAGGAATTCCCTAGCAAAAAAGTGATGAAGATTTGAACAATGGCACTCGCAAGTGTGAAAAATGCGAGTAGAAGGTTGAAGGAAATTTCTGGATTATCATCCGAACAGCCTTAAAACTCTTTTATTGGCTCCAGCGAAAACATTCAAGGCACCTTCTTTTGGAAGGTTTCAAGTAGTTAGAAGAAAAAGAATTACTATTGTATGAGGAAAAGAATTCCTTAACATAAAAGTTATGAAGATGCACTTGATTTGAACAATTCCACTCGCAAGTGTAGAAAATGGGTGTAAGCGTTGTATGCCATTTTCTTTATCGCCCATAAATCATTTTCAAAGATTTTTTTTTCTAATTGGCTTGAAAGGCGTTTTAAAGAAATCCAAGCCTTTCGGTTGCAGACATATTTATAGACATATTTTACACTTTGGAGAATATGGGAGAAGACTCAAATAGCGTCTGATGGAATTTCAACCCATTTTCACAACTTCAACTTCACAACAAGAAATTTAACACTTTTTGGAGAATAGAGATTTTATTGCTTTGCTGATTTAATTAAGCACGTCTCACAGAATTTCTTTTTGTATAAATGCTTTAAATTTAAATTGAATATAATCAGATGGGCTTAAACCTGTTAGTGGCATTAGGCGATTATGAAATGCAATCTCTTTGTGTGTGTCTCATGTAACTGATGGACAGCCCGTCCTTAGAACGGAGTGCAGTTAACGGTATACATAACACATAGCATAAGACAATGCACATCTTGTTGGCCATTCAAGGGGAACGTTTAACGTTTTAGCCCTCAGCCATAAGCCATAAGCCATAAGCCACAGGCCATAAGCCACTACCATGTCACTCATTGAAAGGCTGTCCATTATGCCACAAATGGACGGCTGTCAGTCAGAGATTGGATACAAAGGACAATACCCAGACCAAGTAGAGCCCAGACCACCCCCAGCCCAGCTCCTAGTTGGCATGTCGCACATGTGTGTGCACACTCAACGGACGGCAACTAAATAGATAGAGTCTGTGCTCGCGTTTTGAGGACTTGCTAATTGGAACACGTCATTCGGTCTGTGTCACCGCTGGACACCTTTCCATTTAGCCTCTGCCCATTCTGCGACAAGAGCTCCTTTATGTTTTACAAAGAAGCAGAAAAGAGACCAAAAAAAAAAAAATAATATGGTTTTAAATGCGAGCAACTATGGGAAAATATAAATCTGGGTCTTGTCACACATTTCGCATGAAGGCTTGCGCGCGCACACACACACGCGCAGATACGCACACGCATACACAGACCCAATCCACACACAGAGATTCCACGCAAATATTTTGCTAAAAAAAAAAAGAAAAGGAACGGAGTATCTGCGTAGTAAACGCCGCGTATTATGGCCAGAACAACCCTTAGCGATAGGCAGCAGCAACCCTCGTGTGGCAAGCGGCAAGCGGCAAGCGGCGCTGGAAAGCGACAGAGTTTGAATGAAGTTGTTTGAAAAACTGGTTTATGCGGCCACGTCAAGCTCTCCCTCTCCCTCTCCCTCTCTCTCTCCCCCTCTCTTTCTCTCTGCGCTCGCTGTTTGTGCTGCTCTAAAAGTGGCTCAAAGATACACAAAACACTTGCTGGTATTTGGTATTCGTATAAGTAAGTGATCGCAATGATCCTGCAATGTTTACAAGCGCAGCGAGATCTCGCGTAGAAGAGTGGGCAGCGTATAAGAGTGTAGAAGAGCTGCACTCAATGCTACTCAATAGGCGCTGCAATTTGAGTGCGTGCTCGACTCTGGCTCTGCAATTGTCCTCAGGGCCGCAACACTTGCAACAGCAACAACAACAGCAACAGCAACAACAACAATTGCAAACAATGCAGTTGCGGTCCGCAGTTAACTGTGCATTTGCATTTGACAAATGCAACTAAGCATTGTCGCTGGCACTGCAAGAAATTGGGGACTGTTTCCAACAGCAAACACAATACAGCACACAAAGATAACATAGCATATTATAAATGAGAAGAATTTTGAAATAATAATAAAATCAAATATAGAAATTGTTTTTGAGTGAATTTAGAGCTTTCATTTGTTGTACACTCAAATTAACAATAATATTTAGACCGAAAATTTGTCTATTATTTATTTACACTGAACAAAACGTGTTATTCTATACACACATATCGTTGGCATTTAAAAAGCGTAAATTTAATAACTGTAGCTATGCATTCAGTACACTTGAAGATTTTGTTTCAACGTTTCAACGCGTTATGAAATCGCACTTGATACAAAAATTTGATATAATAATATGCAGCTGTTGCGTTGAGCTCTCTCTGCTTTCTGCCAGACTCTCAAATTATTCGTGCTAATGAATCATCATAAAAAATGTAAATAGCAAAGTTGCAATAAAAACATACTATAGTTTCGCTCAGTGTAGCACTTACTTTGCATAAAATGTACAGCGGCAACAAACATAATTTGCGTTGCATGCGCCTAATTAAAACAAGTGCAGCAGCAACAACAGCAGCAACAACAACAACAATGCAACATCAATTACTGGGCAGGGCCCAGGCCCAAATCCCAAGCCCCGAATATAAAACCAATTGCGAGTCACTCAAAAAAATGTAAATGCCGCCAAAAGCAGGTTTTGCACTCAAAACAAACTCAACGAAAGCAGCGAGAGCGCAAGAGAGCGCAGCAGAGACGCCAGGCTGAGCGCTTGTTGCTGTTGTTTTTGCTGCTGCTGCTGCTGCTGCTGCTGCTGCTGAGCCGACTCAACTCAACTGAAACTGAACTCAACGCCAAGCCAAGTCTGTTTTGTTGGCGGGCTGCTCAGTGGCCAGACTTCAGTTTCGGTTTTCAGTCTGAAATTTGTTTTGAGCGTCGACGAAACGTTGCATTAGCGAAGCGGGCAGCGGTCGCAAGCCAAGCGGGGCAACTTATAAAAAAAAAAAAAAAAAACAAATAAATTAATATAAAAAAAAAAAGAGGCAAACGCTAAACTTTGCTTTCTGCAGCAAAAGAAGCCCCGGCCTGGTTGTGTGTGTTATATTTTTGTGTGTTCTTCAAGTGCCTGGAAAGAAGAAGCAGCAGCAGCAAGTGAAGTGTGCATGTGTGCATGTGTGCATGTGTGTGTGTGTGTGTGTGTGTTTGAGCTAAACATTTGTTATTGTTGTGCTCTGCTCTTGTTCTTCTGCCTGAGTTAAAGATATAAACTGCAAGCTAGCTGCAAGTTTAACGTTTCACTAAGATATTCATTCATGTGCTCAAGATATATTTCTAAATTTTGTCACGCCCGGAATGTACACACACACACACACACACACACGCACATTTAGCGTAGTTATTAACATTTATGGACGCTCGACGCGTAGCTCCGTCTGCTGCTGCTGCTGCTGCTACAAAAAGGTGTGGTTGTGACGGCGGCTTTAAGAGCGGAGCCACTCAAAGGCAAAGCGGCAGCTAAGAGCTACGAAACGAAATCCAATATGCTCAAAAAATGCGCTCGTCTATGTGTGTGCATGTGTTTGTGTGTGTGTGCGTGTAGTCGCATTTTGTTTAGCTTTAGAGGCAAAAAACCTTCAGCTGGGGGCAAAAGCATAAACCTTAAGCCAAGCATAGGACAAAAGATACAAATGTATCTACAGCGTTCAATGTCAAAGTCAGTGCAAAAAGATACAAAATGCATGAGACGGCCACATCTGCAGGCGGCAAACGCGGCAGCAGTCTTTTTGGCCTAGTTGCCGCACTGTTGCACTCTGCGGCGACGGCGGCCAAGATACTTTGTCATTGTATCTGTGAGATACGCGCTGCGGCAGCTCATTGGAATATGTGCTAAGGGCTGACACGTATTTTCCGGGGGTGAAATTGCCAGCACGGGGCGAGGACAAAAAGGCGCCAAAGTTTTCGTTCATCTTGTTATTGTTGTTGCACGTTCCGGGAACGAGTGTACAGAATTAAATGGGTGGCAAAACAAAACAGAGAAGTTGCGGCACAAGAGAGCGAGACAGATGCCAAGAGCAAGAGCAAAAGCGAGAGCGAGTGACAAAATACGAATAGGTGTAGAAAAGTTGTAAAGTGTGTAAAAAAAAAACCCGAAAATATGAATAAAATCTGTGCATAGAAAACTAAAACAGAAACAGCGGAAAACTAACTGGAAAATGTGTGCAAAATAAAAATATAAATAATAAAATATAAGAAAATATAAAATTAATATGAGAAGCAAAATAAGTTAATTTCGTAATTAGAGAAGATTAAAAAAAGAGTTTATTTTTTATTTAAAGATTTTTTTTAAATGGCCTTAAGAATTTTATAAGCAAACTCTTTAAATAAAATAAATTAAAAATAAAACACAAAAATTGGCAAGCACAACAAAATATTAAATTAATCTTTAAATAAAATAAGCATGATTGAAAAAGTATAAAAATAAATATAAAATAAAAAAGACAAAAAAAAAAATAATAATATAAAATAATATAAAAAAATAAACTCAAATAAACAAAAGAATACAGAATTTAGCATGTTAATTTATAAAAAAATGTACCTTTAAAAATATAATATTCGAAAAATCTGATAAAAGAGAACGCTTAAATATTAAAAATAAATAAATAGAGATTTTAAATAAAATACAACAAATCATTTGAAATAACAAAAAGCACACACTTTATATTAAAAGCAATTAAAAATGACTCTTTTAAGCAGCAGCAACAACAATAATAATAATAAAAATAAAAATATTAATAAGCAAATGCTTAAAATAATATTAATTCAAATATATCTACAGGCTCTCTAAATTTGTTAGTTTTGTAACCAAATCAAGCAACGAGCGAGTGCATATAAAGATATATATTTATTTATTTATTTAAACTTGCGCCGTCTAACTGTACTTCGTATTTGAAGTAAGCACAAATTAAAATTAATTAAACAAAAAAAAAAAAAGAGGAAAACAACCCACCAAAATGTCGAAACCGGTACCAATGCCATATTCGGAAACGAACGATGATCTACACAATATACGTAAACCGAAACCCTTTCATTTCGGTAAATTTTTATATAACTCCGAGGAGGGCACGGTCATGGGACGAGATCGCGCCTCATGGGGTAAGTTCAAGGGAAAGCAAAGGATATTTGAACAAGAGCATAAGGATATAGAGTATACAAATATAAGTATATAAGTACAAGTTCTAGTGAATGAGCTCAGCTCAGCTTCAGATCTTATGTAGTTTTTCCATTTAACTGCGACTTCATGCAAATATAAATAATTAAAATAATTACAAACTTAATTGAGAAACCAGGTATAAAAAATAGTCATCACTCTGATTTATGTATATGCCAAAAGTATGGGCTGGCAGATGTCTCAAGTCTCAGCTCTGCAATTAGACTGTCCGGCTAGTAAATGCCACTCGGGGAGTGTAAAACAAATAGATTTCATTTCATATATCACAATAAGTATAGCCCTTGACGAATCACTCATCAAGTTAATGGACTCAAAAAGTATTACTCCCCCATTTTTTTCGAGTAGTTGCAAAACATTTCAATTATGAGCAACCGTTGCCAACTGGCGCCAGTTGATTAACTTTAAGGCATCAGAAGTATCATCTATGTGCTAGTTCCTAAAGTAACAAGATGTTAATACGCCAACTGACAACTACGGGAAAAGAAGTTATAGCACATAATTCTATGAGAAAATTAGAAGTTGAAAAGGCATCTTATATAGCAAAGATTTAGTTGTGCGTGGGAAAATATTGATACTTTGGAGCTTTTAATGCCAGAGTTCTTCGCTTAAAAAAATATTACTAGCGAGAGATTTATATGTATAAGATCATATTTCATATATGAAAAGTGTAAAAAATATCAGCGGGATATATTTAAATAAAATCATATTTAAAGTATGATAAGCCCTATGCTTATATATGGTTTATATATATTATTAATTTAATTTTAGATATTCCTTTTTAAGTTTGCAATATTTGTATCTGCGCGTATTCACGCACCTTTTTTGGTATTCTTCTTTGGATTAGACTGAACTTTGTGGCTCTAATGCCAAAAATATTAAAAAAGAAAATATTTGTAAATATTATCATATTTCATATACATATGATAAATCTTATTTAAAGACTCAGCACTTAAACAAATCTCTTATTTAAGAATACATATGTTTGTTTCTCTTTGCGTACTCGACCCAAAAACAATCTAAAGCGTCTCTCTACACGAGTTATTTACCGCTTGCGCTCTTTTAAACACTCGCTCAGACTCTCTGCCTCACCCTCTCTCACTCACACTTGCACTCGCAAACGCAGTCTCTACGGCCACTTGTTAAAGATGTTGGCCAAGTTGAGGTTATGTGCACAGCGCTGCGTGTCAATGTGTGCGTGTGCCCGATCGGCAAAGAGAGCGCAGAGCAAGTTGTAAGTGCGCTCTTGAGCGACGGCACACAACGAAACTTCGCTTACGTCTCGCTGAGCAAGACGTGTGAAGTCTTATACTTGGACCAACGACTTATACGCTTATGATTCACGGCGCTCTGCTGCCATTCTTATACACATGGTTTGTTTACGATTTCCTGAGTTAAAGTCTGGCGCTGAGCGACGACTCCGCGCTTCATCAATTAAGAGTTTAACCCATTGGCGACTTTTGGTTTTTAAGTGTTTAATTTAATCAGCTCAATTGAGCGCGCGACATTGCAGCTACATGAATCTTTAATAATGCCTATTTAATGGGTTGCTGTTCAATCTAATTTGGCATCGTAATCTAATTATGACTCTTGCTTTCAGCCAAGATCGGCACCTTCTATATAATCTTCTATGGCGTGCTGGCCGCCCTGGTGGCCATATGCATGTGGGCCTTCTTTCAAACTCTGGATCCGCGCATACCCAAATGGACATTGGACAGCTCGATCATTGGCACGAATCCAGGTATGTTCATATAGACTATAATCGAACTGATGATTTACACTCATCATTTCCAACCAGGTCTTGGATTCCGCCCACTGCCGCCCGTTGACAATGTGGAGAGCACATTGATCTGGTACAAGGGCACTCTGCACGAGAACTACAAGCATTGGACGGATTCTCTGGACGAGTTCCTGGCGGGTAAGTATCTATAGCCGGTGTTAAAGACTTTCAGTCCACATCTTTAGGCAATTGGCCAATTGCGTGTTTCTAGTTCATGTTAGAAATGTCCTTGAACTGATTTTTTTTTTATTGCACGCATTGTTGTTGCTAGGGTCGCTTTAGAACACGCAAACTGTTTTGCATTTATTTTAATTATAATAAAATATTATAGATTTTTTGTGATGGGGTTTCAAATCGGGGTCGTAACTAAGCTAAACACATATCGAATTAATAAATAGTTGAGAGGAAATCCAAGTTGAAGTAAACTTTGAGAAAAGTAAATGGATTCAGTTGAACGAACTGCAGTTCCAGAGATTAAAGATAAGGAAAACAAGATGTGATGAGCTAAAGAACTTAAGAGTTCACTTTTCAATCTTGAGACAAACTCAAGCAGATTATCAGAAAGAATTAAACAGATATTTGGATATTAACTAAATAAAAGCCCAATAGAATAATGTAATAATACAAATGAAAAGTGCAATACTCACGTTTGACATTGGTTTCCCATAGTGTACAAAGTGCCCGGCTTGACACCGGGCCGTGGTCAGAACATCTACAACTGTGACTACAACCAGCCCCCGCCGAAGGGTCAGGTGTGCGATGTGGACATTAAGGCCTGGTCGCCGTGCACCAAGGAGAACAATTACAGCTATCACAAGAGCTCGCCGTGCATTTTCCTCAAGCTGAACAAGATCTACGACTGGCTGCCAGAGTTCTACAATAGCTCCCAAAACTTGCCGGGCAACATGCCCGAGAACCTGAAGACCTACATAGGGCATGTGGAGAAGACGGAGCCGCACAAGGTGAGACGGCCGGCGTATTGAATAAAGATGCATTAGATATATTATTGAAAGCATTTAAAATTGAATTAAATTAACTAAAACTTTATATTTCTATTTGGAAATACAGCTAAACACCATTTGGGTGTCCTGCGAGGGCGAGAATCCTGCCGATCAGGAGAACATTGGCCCCGTCAACTATTTGCCGATACGCGGCTTCCCCGGCTATTTCTATCCCTACCAGAACTCCGAGGGCTATCTGAGTCCCCTCGTCGCGGTGCACTTCCAGCGCCCCAAGCGTGAGTACAGCGCACATATCTTTCGGTATTTTCGATAAATATATTCCATTGATTCCCAACAGGCGGCATTATCATCAATGTGGAGTGCAAGGCCTGGGCACGCAACATTGGGCACGATCGCAAGGAAAGAATTGGATCAGTGCACTACGAGCTATTGATTGATTAAGCTGCACGTTAAGTGGAACTCAAGCAGATGAGATATCAATCAAGTAAAGGACGCTGCTTTGTCTTATGTAGAGCGTGAAATCAACACCAAAATGCAGTTTTTTCCTAAGAAATACTATAATATAACAGACCATAAATTATATACAAGAACAAAGACACCGACAACAAACATTTTTGGATACAAAACAAATTTTTGAATGTAGCTTCTTCTTATACAAAATACGATTTAAAAAGGATTATATATATATATATATATAGCAAGAATGTAGTCTAGCGCCTAAGAGGATTTCTTTAAATTACGAGCGATTTTTGCATAAAATATAAAAACAAATTATATTATTAAATTGAAATTATAATAATTTTAAATTAATTATAATAATGCTGAATGCCGTTTTGTGAAATGAAAACTCGATAGTTGAAAAATGAAAGAAGCAAACCCTAAACTTTAAATGCTAGCCAAGTACGAATCTCATTTAGCGCTGTTCCAAAATAAAACGACACAAATTTACGAATGTTTATTGCTTATTTTCAATTACAAATCTAAACTGCCATTACAAAAACAACAACAACAAAAAAGACACAATCACACATTAGTTAACAACAATTGCAAGTTAACAATAATATAAAGAAAAACCTTTTGACCAAAAAAAAAAAAAAATGAAAAAGAAACTTTGTACGAACTAAAGCTGCAGCTGACCAATTTCGTAGCCAAATACCAATTTTTTATTAGCCCAACAATTTTTCAACTAGTTTATAGCTTTTATTAAAAAAAAAAACGTTACTCCAATTTAACAAAAACAATCTGATATACTTATATACAAAACAGATCTTATAAAATGTTTTACATATTTACAATCTATTCATATAAATCTAACCCACATGTCAAAGTGAAATGTTTAACAATCAAATGCGAAATCAACAAACACAAATTTGCAGCGTTTAGTTATTAAGATTATTAATGTTAAATCAAATCAAACAAACAGCAAACATAAAAATAAAAACAAAATCAAATAAAACAGCAGCTAAGGCTAAACGAATTCATCTCAAAACTGTTCTCAATAAAAATGGGCGATACAATATAATAAATAAATTCTTTAAATTTTATTTGAAATAAAATGCTTAAAAATTGGAATGAAAACCAATTTAATTATTTATTTAAGTAGCACACGCATGTGCTTAGCAACGAGCTTTTAACAGGGCATAGCAGCCAGCTTTTGTATGGAAGGCATATTTGGGAACAGAATACTTGAGAATTTAATATGTTTTATGAATAATTTTAATAACAATATGAAACGGGGCATAGCATAGCAACAAGCTTTTGTATGAGCGGGCTGCATATTTGGGAACAGATATAAGAATTAAGATCTTTTATAAATAATTTTAATAACAATATGAAAGGGATGTTTGCATGGATATCATACTTGGAAACAAAAGGCTTGAGAATTTAAAAGATATTATATATAATTAAAATAACAAATATGTTTACTAGCGAGGTTTAATATTCGAGGATTTTATAATTGGAAACAGAATGCTTGAAAAATGAAGACACAATTTAAATAACATGCAGCATATTAGGGAACGACAGAAATTACGATCCATTCCAAATAATTAAAAAAGAAACCAAATATATACGGCATAGAGATTTTGTGCAAGTACAAAAAAGGACATAGTATAGCACCAAGCTTCTGTATGAATCGGGAAATATTTTCGACAATGATATTTTGTGCGACTAGGGTAAAGGATATGGCACATCAACATACTTTTGCTGGGATCAAACTGCTTAAGAAACTGAAGTTTCCACAGCAATGAGTATTTTTTCGAATGCGAAGAAAGAAGCTAGCATATCACAAGATTATTATGATTGGGTTTTTTTGTTGAAAGAAAAACCAATCTGGCATAGCAGCTAGCTTTTGTATGAGTCGACTTCCAGCACGTAGCAACGAGCTTTAAATTTTTATTAAAAAATATAATTAAAAAATCGGTTAAGACTTTAAGATCTTAAATATTATGGATACGCCCACTGAAAGCAACCTTTAGTTGGGAAAAAGCAGTTCAAAGCGTAAAGCCCATTTAAAAAAAATAAGAATCAGACTGATCTTAAGCTTTATAAACCCAAGAAACAGTTGAAGTAAATTAAGGAAAACTGAAAAATGCTTAGTCTCGGAATATTTGAGGACAAGGGAATTAATTAACAATATAAAATTTGTTAACAATTCTCTAGGCTTGTCGAAAAAGTATTTAACTAAATCTCCGCGTCAGTTGATATCTGCCATGATTATGGTTGGGAAGAGGGCACTCATAGTTATATATTTTGTCATATGCCGTTATTTGAGTTATATAAAAATAATAATTGCTGTCGCAATGTTGCGTAGCCACATGCTGGCTAGATAAGATAGGAAGTACGGCAATGCCCGTAGCACTCGTAACCCAGATAATAATCAGAAATCTGTTCAGTCTTTTGCCTTTGGTCAGCCGTGTGGACAAAGTAAGATCGATATGAATGCGCATATATAACATTTATATTATTTGTATGTACATAGACTTTATATATTTTCATGTATTCTATAGATATCTTATCTGACAACTTGGTCAATTGCGTCATTGCAGCTCATTAATAGAAATCTCGGCGTTTACTTATGATATATTATTTATTTTTTAATGACTTGTCGACGGGTTTTCAGCCCAGAGAGGGTTGTCACCCTGTCTGCAGGTTTTTTTTATAGGGTATGCGCTCTTCGTATACGCTAAACTTTCTCAACAATAATTCGCAATTTTATTTTAATATATTTATTTAAGATAATAATTCAAAACGAGCCATAAAACTATTTCAACTTTTATGCATCGATCTGAACGGAAGATCAAACAGAGTTGAGGCACGACTTGACTCGGCTGCGGCTCTTGGAGGTTGGCCGCTGCCCCAAGTCAACATTTAGGTGTTAAAATTCGAGCAGGTGAGCCAAATTGTGGCTCTAAAGCACTTGAAGTGCTCCACTCATGCTAACAGGTTATTTCTGGAATCAAGGCAAACAATATTTGTTGTCTGATATTGGTGTTAGGAGAAGCATTCGATGAAATTAATATTGCGGCGATAAGCGACAACATGAGTGCCTACAGTTATTTCAGTCAGTTCAGTACATAAAATAATACACAATCAGAGGACAAAATGTATTTCTAGTGCACCAGATGAAAGTTTTTATGACTTATGTAACTCCATTTTAATAGAAGAACTGTGTTCAGGCACAGAGAAACAATGTTCAAACAACCTGATTGACTACCATATGCAGTTCAAGTTAACTTGAATTTATCGATAACTATCGATTTTCTGTTCAATTATTAATACTATTTCAAAACTAGAACCGCGCAATACGACTACAGATTAGTATATAGCAGGCACAAATCAAGGGTATATCTCGTTTGGCGAATCTTCCCTTGTTCCATAACATTCTTTTACTCCAAATCGATAAATATCGATTTAAGGGTTACTTTTTCTTGAATTTCTAGAAGATTTTGAAAATTAGAACCATCAACTTCGCCATACTGCTTCAAACTACATTGAATACCCTCAGCATGGTATTTTTTTAATGAATGTATGTTATTTATAATGCCAAGCGATTTAAATGAACAATATAATATGAATAATAGCACGAAATATGCAATTAAATAACAGAGTATGTGATTGATCTGATATCTCTTTCAACTATAGCTATTATTATCAGACCTGAGCAGACTTGACTGTCGACTAATTGAGAGCTAATTAGCTGAAACTCAGACGCTTGGCTGACTGCAAATCAGCAAAGTACACAACATACGAAACGGCAAACAATTATTTTTAAACAGGAAAAAAATCAAAACTTCGCTTAATGAGGAAGCGTCCCGCTTGCCAGACCCATCGATAGATGCGCTGTACTGGAAAAATCACACACATTTCGGTTCGAACAAGATAAACTGGTTTCATTAGATATCACAGAAACCCAGGCAACTCAACTCCCCCTCCTCAGTATTCCGAGTAGCCCTTCGCCTTTGTGTTTTATGATTTGCTTAAGTCCAACTTGAATTCAAGCTGAAGCTGAGCCCCAACAAGGGAACTCTTTCATGTGTCGCCTTCGCACCAAAAAGATTATCAGTTCTACATATATACATACATGTCTATATATATAAATATATATATATGTAGTTAGTTAACACGAGCCGGTTTTAACCGACTTCAGTTTCACGTGAGCTCTGAACAGTTCCTTTGCCTGTTACTTAAATTCAATTAATCCATCATAAGTTAACGCATTCTGAATCTGATCTGGCTTTATCGATTAGCCTCATTAGGCTAATATATTAATTTTAATATATTTAAACGATATTCTAGATATTTTTTAATTAAAGCTGTTTATCTAACATTTTTGTTTTTAAGCTTTTGCTTCCTTCTGTAGTTCTCTAATTTATGTGTAAACAGAAGATGTTTCTCATTATTATTATTTTTTTTTTAAAAGTAATGACAATAATAATACTTAATAAAATTTTTAGCTATTTATAACGTAATTTTTTTAAAAGCAAAAACTTAAATATATTACATTTTTTAATTTATTTATTCCACTACGAACAACTGAGAATAAAAATGTTATAAATTCATGAAAATAAGTGAAATTAAAATATTTTCTCTTCACACAAAATACCCAATTTCAGTCAACTGTGCCAACGCATTCTGTTTTATCTAATCAGCAGATTATAAGAGCGCTCGTTTATGGCCACGTTTATATGGTACATGCATGAGGCCCAAATAAAACTGACGACTGGATGTCTTAGCCGGGCCCAGATGAATTCCTAAGCGGCTAATGAGATGCTTGACAACAGTGCCTGGGCGGAATAAGCGGCGGCGTTGTCAAGTATAATTTAATAAATTTATGATGATTACAACAATGAAGCGCACAGATTGAAAGACTGCAGCGTACAACCCACAAATGGCAACAAGATTGAAAGACTGCCATGGTACTCCCGCTTCAGGCTGGGGGCGGGTACGGAGGGTCAATACTTGAACTTGTTTGCAATGGCAACGCGCTCGTGTTGAACTCGAGTTGAACTCGAGTTGGGCTCGGAAATGCTCGCTAATGCGAATTAATACTGTAAAATTGCTGCGACACTTGACAACGGCGTTTAGCTCGATGACTAATGCAAAGGGCAACATGGAGCACATACAAGAAACGCTTTTCCAGTTTCGCCCTCAAATTCACTCATTTCGGCAAACCACCGCAAAGCAAACACAAAAAATAACACGAAAATGCAGCCAAAAAATAAAAAAAATAGGTATTGTGATGCACAATAATAAAAACAGTATACAAAACATAATGTTGGCGCTCCCATAAAAAAAAAAAAAAAAAAAGAAAAAACAACAAACATGCAGACACACACACACACACACACGCATTAAAACAAAGATAGAAATCTAGCTGTGGGAGAGTTAGAGCGAGTAGCCGAATATACAAAAGCCAATGTACTCTCAGTTCTTGTCGCTGTATTAGTGTGTATTAGAGAGAGTGGAAGAGTGCACAAAGAGAGCACATTGAGTTGAATATGTGTGCGTGTGTCATTGCTGCTTTGTGCTTTATTTTAATACATATTAATAAAGCAACAGTTATGCATTAGAAAGAAGCCACAAGGCGTAGCTAAAACTGTGCGGGTTGGGCCGCTGCCGCAATTATTGAAGCAAATGAACATATGTTTATAAAACAATTTAGCTATATAGAATTTATAAGGCTGCATTATTAAGTTGACACTGAAATTCATTCGCAGTTGGAATAGTTTTCATTTATAATATTGCATGTTATATTTGAAGGTATTGTGCATATATTTTATTTATGGTTTATTAGCTGTAAAAGTCTGTCACCGCAGCGCTCCTGTGATTCACCCTCCACCGTTGCTGTCTGGCTACTGTCTGCAGTCTATCAGCCATTCTATTTGCGTAGCCACAGTGCAGTGGGCAGAGTGGGAGAGCGAGAGAGCATGCGAGAGAAGGAGCGTTGCTCGCACCTTACAAGAAGCGCTACCAACAGCAACAATAAACACAACAACATTGAACCTTGCGATGACGCTCGAAAAGCGCCCACCCACTGCCCGAGCAGCGCCGCCAAGAAGCTTTCTGCTTTCAAAAGCGTTCAACAGCTGTCTGTGCGCGAATACTCGTACTCGCATCTTTTAGCTTTGTTTGCGTTTGTGTGCGTGTTGACTGAGAGGCAGGCGTTGCGAAGTGTGAGTGTTGAGCGGCGCAGTAACTGAAGACTGCGCTGCCGACGCTGTCGATTTCGTTGTCGGTTTGGCCACCACATTTTGTGGTTCAGTTGGTGATCTTTCGCCGAGAGCGCAACACGCAGCACGCATCACGCAACGAGATTCGAATACCAGTCGCCAATACCTTAGTAGTGTTTCGTTTGTGCCTTTTTGTGTGTGTGTGCGTGTGTATTACAGAGTATTCTCGTAGCGGCAAGTTTTAGAATAACAAATTAACTAAAACTTGAAAAAATAATTAACGAAAAGAAACAGCAAATGCTACGTGCTGATTTTTAAAACGAATCACCTTTACAAAGTGTATTGAAGCATTATTGAAAATTGTTCAAATTCTTACGTACCCCGTCCACCGTCCACGTGAGCAGCAAATAGCAAACGCAATCAAAATACGTGCATAAGTACCTACACATATATATATACATACATATATATATTTTATAAATACAATCCACAGCGTGCACTCACGATTTGTAATAACTGTTTGAATAAGTAAAATATAAAAAAAAAAGCGCCAAAATGTCGAAGAATAACGGAAAAGGAGACCAGTACGAAAATCAATTTCCGCAACCGGCTGAAAAGCAAACTTTGTCGGAAATGATCTACAATCCGAGCAAAGGCACCATCTTTGGTCGCACTGGCAAAAGTTGGGGTGAGTACGCCAATAAATAGGATCGAGCGGAGTTCAGCGAAAGTGCAGCATCGCTCTCTCTCTCTCTCACTCTCTCTTGCCACACAAATTCAACGAGTTTTCGAAACGTCAAATGCATGGAGTTCTTCGAAAGGACAGCGCGGAGCCAATCATTACTCGACTCTCCCGCTCTCTTTGTTACACTCGCAACGTGAAAGCTGAGCTTAACTCCTTGCATAGCTTATCATCAAAGGGCAAAATCAAGCAGTAACCCACTCTTCCCTTTCTCTCTCTCTCTCTCACACACTATCTTTATTATGGCAATTCGTAGGTGAGTAAGCTAGCCCTATGTTAATCGAATGCCAAGTCATTTGAGGTACAATAACAAAAAAAGGCAACAAAAAGGAACGAAATGAGTAAAATGTGTTTATATTTACATATGCTGAACGTGTCTGCATGCATGTATGTGTGTGCACATGTGCATATGTATATGTACATAAATGCAATTCGGTCACTCGGAAACGAGTGCGAGTATAAGCAAATAAAATAAAAGAGCTTATCAGCTACTTCTGTTCGCTCTCCGTTTGAGTATGAAATGAAAAACAAGCTCTAGATGTCATTGCCATATGTAAAATCTTTTATGAGGAGATAAAAGTGGGAAGGCTATGAAGCTAGATACAAATATGCCTGTGCTGGCAAATTGATTAGACAAAGCATCTAAATTTACTATAAATTGTCTATATGTACACACACACACACACACACACACACACACACACAGATGAATATTACTGTTAAATGTGTTAAATTTTATGTAAATCTCGCTTTATTTTATGACGCTGTTCAACAGTTGCTAACCGCGTAATTAGTATACGACATTTAATTATTTTTCTAGAAAAATTGCTTGAAACAGATTGTGGTTAAACAATTGTAAGGTTTTTAAATGACACCTTTTTTCATGAAATCTATTCATCATAAGAACAACTCAAAAGCTTGCGAATTAAGCAAATTATTACTGTGTATATAAAAATATATTATTTGTTGGAAATACGCAAAAATAAATTATAAAAAAAAAACTGTATTATGTTGTCAAATTCAAATAACTTGTAAAATACCAAAATTTCCGAATTAGTAAATTAAGAAATCTTAAATATTTAAAACTTTTATGAATGCTATTCTATTCTAGAAATTTGAACAGCATTTTTCTCCAAGTGTATTTCCATTGAAAATATCTACATGACTAACCTCTCGAAAATACATATTTTTCACGATATATATATATTTTTTATTGAGAGTTTTGTGTTGCCAACTTCCAAGGCTCAAAAAATAAATTAAATACATAATTACATATATTCTAGTTACGTACACACGAGTGGGCAATTTTATATAGATTCATGTGCATATATAAAAAAGTCGAGCAGCATTAAAATTTTATTTTGGGTGCTCACAACAGCAAAAACATTTTTTTTTTTTTAAAAAAAAGATAAAAATTGTATGCCAAACAAACACGGACGCACGTTTCTATGTATAGCTAAGGAGGGAGCGAGAAAAAGAGATAGAGACTGAGAGAGAGAGAGAGGGGGGCATATAGAGAGCAAAACAAAATATAGATCGTAAAAGAGTCGGGGTCTCAGCAACGGTTAATATATCATCATATTCGTTTTGTAATAAGTTCTGCAAACAAATTCAAGGTTTCGCCCGCTCTCATGCTTACTCTCTCTTCTTTCGCTCTCTCTCTCTCTCTCTCTCTCCCTCACTCTTTATCTTAATTTTGGCAGCCACAAGGGAATTTTTTTACACATTTCCACGCATTATGAACGTAGCTCTTGAAACATATATATTAAATAAAATAGCATAGAAAATATATTAAAATAAAAAAAGTAATCAAATAAATGTTTAATAACACAAAATAATTATTAGATAATTGACAAAGTATTTTTGTTTATTTGTTTAGGAATTTGTTTAGGAATTTAGAACGTAATACCCGCACGTAATACCCTCAATAAGGCCTAACTTATTTGCATTAAATGTGTTCTAAATTAATTCCTTAATTAGTTTGCATTATTTTGTGCTCGTAAGCTCCGTAAAAAGCCCAACAAATTTCTTGTTAATCTAAACAGTATTTTTTTTCTTTTACGGCCAAGTTTTCATGATCCTCATTATTATGGCCTGTCTGTTGGCAATTTGGCCTTGCCCAAGCCAACTAAGCCAACAAATACACATGGGTCCTGCCCTTGGAACCCCAGCTGAACCCTTCTGCAGACACACCTGTCGTCTGTGGCATATTTAATGCACCCGTGTGGTATACGAAAATATAAATGGCATGGTATTTACCCGTACATATATAGAGAGGATATACGCCCATTTAGTTTAGTTGGCTCTATTCCCGCCATCTGTATCTATCATTTAATCTACTTCATGGCTTTAGCTATAGTTTCACAAACTACAAAAATAATAATCATTGACATGTGCATTAAATTATCGACTTTTGTCAAGGTTAGGCCAAAATACTAAAAAATTCCTTAGCCCAATCAAAGTTCAATTAAGTCGAAAACAACCACGCTTATTGGGCGGCTTAATAAAATACATATTAGAGGGCAGGCTTTATAATTTCCTAGATAAATAAACAATAAGCTCTAGCAGGCATTTATATAGATATATAAAGTCAAATACGGATCAGATACAGGCAGAAATACAAGTTGAGATACAGATACAGATACAGATACAGATACAGATACAGATACAGATACAGATACAGATACAGATACAGATACAGATACAGATACAGATACAGATACAGATACAGATACAGATACAGATACAGATACAGATACAGATACAGATACAGATACAGATACAGATACAGATACAGATACAGATACAGATACAGATACAGATACAGATACAGATACAGATACAGATACAGATACAGATACAGATACAGATACAGATACAGATACAGATACAGATACAGATACAGATACAGATACAGATACAGATACAGATACAGATACAGATACAGATACAGATACAGATACAGATACAGATACAGATACAGATACAGATACAGATACAGATACAGATACAGATACAGATGCAGATACAGGCAAAATTCGTATTGCAAAATGAGCGAATGTTAAGTAAAAAGTAAATAAAGCGAATAAAAACCCAAGATCAATTCATAGAACTCATTAGAATGTATCTGTTCTGCAATATCTATGTCATGATTAAAACAAATAACAATAACAAAGCATAGACACTCGATGCTCGATGCCGATTCGGCGTTAATTTCGACTCAGTTCCAGCTTAACACAAAATAGTTAACAAATGCTACATTTTTTGTTGTTGTTTGTTTTGTTTTTTAACTTTTATTTTTTATACAGCCCGTGATAAATGAAATCAAACCGGTTCAACGGCTTTTTGATGTGTCTGGAAATGCTTTCATTACAAAAGCTGTTGTCAGCATTTTGTATTTTATTTGCACTCTGATTCAGAAGTTTTTGTTGTTGTTGTTGTTGTTCAACCCTAAAACAACAACAACAACCGCAACAACAACAACAACAACAGCAGTTGCGGGCACCTGTATGTCAATTCGAGTTCTGGCCAAAACCAGTTTCATCCGCTAATTGCCAATTCGCGGCATAGAGGGTCATTCCCGCCCCTGGATTTAAATGCAACCCCTCTCCCAACCTCTCTCTCAACCGCATTTCCCCTCATCATCGCCTGCTCGTTGAGCGCGAATTTAGATTTAGAGAGATGCAACAAATTGTTGCATTCGCATACGAATGCAACACGCAGCATATGCGAGCCAGTTAATATTTTTAACTAGCATGGTTTTCCATTTAATTAATTCACAGGAAATACCGCTAATTGTTAGCAAAGTATTTTCATACATTTGTTGCCCCCGTTTCATATCTGCTTTATAAACAAATTGAACACGCAAAAATTTCAATTTAAGCATAAACAAAGAGCTCTTCAGCTGCAATTAAAATGCCAAACCATTAAATTCCTAGTATGTAAATTTATTTAAAAATTTTATATATATATACATTAATGTATATATATAGATATTTGTTAGATTTAAATAGATCTTGAAAGCTCTATTCAAATATACTCATATAACACATCCTCGTTAGAAGTTTATTTAACCCAGATATGAATATATTTATTATTATATATTTATTGCTTATTTCGAATTTCAAAATAAAATCAATTCTGGAATCGAGAGATTGTGATTTTTTCAAAGATAAATTCAAATTTTATCGACATAAATGAAAATATTTCCGCTTGTGAAAACTGCTGTTGAAATATTCAATTTAATTTTCAATTTTTTCCAGTTTTGTCATATTTAAAATTGATATTGAAAATAGATTTATTCGCAAGAACTAAAGTAAAAATATAAAATAAATAAAATTCTTGTTAAAAAAACTCGAAAGATATGAAAATTCCAAAGCGATAAAGCCCACGCTTGAAACATTTTTCGCAAAACCTAAGGCTACAAATATTTAAAATCGACTAACTTAAAAAAAGTTCATTGCTAAAAAATTAGTTGCAAAAGTGAGCCAAAAATATTGAAAATTCAAAGTTTAAAAGCATTTTTCTTTGCTCTAAAGTATATTTTAGTTCTTTTAATATGCTTAAAATTATTATTCAAAGTCGAAAAATTGTTCTTTGTTAGAAAGCTCATCGAGTAGAGCATTTTTTTTTTTACTATTTTTGTATTTCTCACAAATATTAAACTCAACTCATTTAATTTAAATATTTTTTTAACTTTCAAAATGTGTTTATCTTATATTCAAATTATTTTTTAATACTTTACGTACTTCAATTTTTGAGTACTAGAATAATTTTATTTAATTATAATCTTTAGTATTTCTATTATAATTTTAATTGTATGCATTAATAAAAACTGCAAACTTGACAAATATAATCGCAAAATTCCTATAATTCGGTTTAAAAAAATGTTGCTCAACTGTTTAAATTATTTTTGTGTTAAACACACTTTGGTAAAGCATAAAATG